GGCGTGGCGGCCCTGCCCCCTCGGGGTCCCGTCCCCGAGGACCAGTGACAGCTGCCCTGCGGCCTCCCCGCCGCCCCGCCCGCAGGCCTGCGCGCACTCCTTTCCTTTTTTCTGGAACGTAATATCCTGTGCTAACAGGCTGAAAAAACACGTCAGGAAACCACTCTTCTAAAAGTTCTTCCATTTCCTTAAGGAAAGTGAGAAGAGGGCAAACGATATACAGAGACCCCGAATGCAGGTCTGCAGCCACCGGGCCTCTGTCCCGGACTTGGTAGTCCCGAATGACTTTGATTTTTTCCTTTTTGCATTTCTGGTTTATCTTATGTCCTCTCCCCGCTTCCCCCAGGGCACCTTCTCTCTGATTATTGAGGCTCTCCACACAGATTCTCCTGATGACCTCACGACAGGTAAAAACGAAACGCCAACCCCCCAAACTTGTAAGCTGCTCCCCCCAATTAACTTCACACCACCCCGCCCCAGAAACACACTCAGCATCTTTCATTATGCACGTGCCCCCAGAAAGTTCAGGATGGAGCAGGCGTCCAGTGCACCTGCCCTTCTGTCCCATGCCTCAGAACCAACCTGGAGCATCTTCTCCCTACAGAAAACCCAGAAAGACTCATCAGCCGCCTGGCCACCCAGAGGCACCTGACGGTTGGCGAGGAGTGGTCCCAGGACCTGCACAGCAGCGGCCGCACGGACCTCAAGTACTCCTACCGGTTTGTGTGTGACGAGCACTACTACGGGGACGGCTGCTCAGTCTTCTGCCGTCCCCGAGACGATGCCTTCGGCCACTTCACCTGCGGAGAGAGAGGGGAGAAGGTCTGCAACCCTGGCTGGAAAGGCCAGTACTGCACAGAACGTGAGTCCCCAGGGAGGGCGCCTGCCCGCCTCAGTCCTCCACTCACACGGCCATTCACAGGTCGAGGGGTATTTATGAGCCACTGGGATCATGGGATTTAGCACGACAGGGGACTGTGGAGATGTTCTGGTGTGGAGACCAAGACCCAGAGAGCAAAGTGACTTGCTAAGCCCTCACAGCTAACCAGTGGCAGAGTTGGGGTCAACCAAGAAGGTTTAACTTCCAAGCCAGTGTTTATCCACTATAGGAAGCTGCCTTTCTTAATCAGGGAGGATTTTAGAGCCAGGGCCAGGGGTCAGGAAGTAAAGCCTGTGCCACCCCAGGCGTGTGTATCAGAGAGGGAGGGGAGGAAGGAAGGGAGGAAAAGAGCCGAGTCTGTGTGTGCAGGGGCGTGCTTCCAGCCAAAGTTCTCTTTGCTGTGGAAGTGTCTCCAAAGAGCCGAGTCTGTGTGTGCAGGGGCGTGCTTCCAGCCAAAGTTCTCTTTGCTGTGGAAGCGTCTCACTGGCAAGTGCAAGGGCATTTCCAAATATTCCAGGTGATACAGTCCAAAGGAGAGGTTTCACTTGTGTGGTCTGTGGACACTGAGAGGCTGTGTGCTGAGGCTGGTCTGCAAAGCCAGTGTGGGTGAGAGGCACACATGCCCCTTCTTGTTTGAATGCTCACACAGCCCCCTGCTTGGAAAAGAAGTGTCTTTATGATAGTGACATAGGCTCCACCCACCTGCTTATTAGGTATTGGTGTGTCCTAATTCCATGGACAGCGGGGTGACCAGGATGGGCGTGGGGGACCCGTGGGGACCCTGCTGGCTCCTGGTTCTGGCTCATCCAGACCTTAGTAGGCCTCACCTGCATGCCCAGGATGCCCCGTTCCCTGGGTATTGATTTTCCTACAGTCAGAGGTTGGGTGGGTCCTGGAGCTACCCAGAAACCCCAATGAACGTTCATTCTGCCTTGGAGAGAGGAAGGGCAAGGGTGCAGTTTCTCAGCTTTGATTTGAGCCTGGGGGTGGGTGAGGGTGGGTCTTCACATTCAGTGTATGCCTAAATGTCCTTGTTGCTTAGCTTCCCCAATCTCCTTAAGGACTCCACTGAGAGCCTCTTTTAAGCTCCGCCTTAGCCTGAGCTGGTTCTGTTTTCTTAAAAACTTGCAGAGCTGCTCGTTAATGAGTTTCATAACCAGGCGACATGAGCCAGCTCAAAGCCTCAGCGGCTGCCTCGACCCCCTCGGGCGCCTCTGGCCGCCTGTTGCCTCCCACCCTGGCTGTCCTCCCTGTTCTTCTTTGCCATGGGGCAGCCAGAAACTTAAACTTTTTTCTTCTTATTCAAACACTGGAGTCTCTCCCCTGCCCCCAGCGTGCGCGTGCCATAGATTAGATCTGTCCAGGGATAGGCAGTGGGGACGCCCGCCTGCTCCCATTGGCGGAAAGGGCATCTGTGTGTGTGTGTGTGTGTGTGTGTGTGTGTGTACACGCCAAGGGTGTGTGTGAGGGGTGGAGACCTGGGGGCTGGGGGAGGCCGTATTGTTGCGCTGAGGCAGCTGCTAGGAGAGGCCAGACAATAGAGCAGCTGTCTTGCCCTGGCACCCTGCACACCAGCTGTCCACTCTTATCTGCACCACACTTTCTGGGATATTAAGAGGTGGAGCTTTGTGCATAGAATTGGGAAGTGGGGGAGGAGGAGGGGGAAGACTTCTGACCCTCTCTTAGAAGAAAAGGGGATGGGGTGGGGGTGGGGGCTTCCGAGAGCCCTTTGTCCTCGAGCCACTGTGTTAAGAAGAGTGCGCATCCCCAGGGTGAAGTCCAGAGCTGCTGGGCAGGATGGGTCAGAGCTCCATAGCCTGGGGAGATTCACTGGGCTGTGGGTCCTGGCCAAGCCAGGCAAGTTTTGTCCCAGTCCAGCAAGGTAGCAGCCCTGGTCTGAGGTGAGCTCAACCCTGTGTTTCTTCGTTTGCTTGCAGCAATCTGCTTGCCGGGGTGTGATGAGCTGCATGGGTTTTGTGACAAGCCAGGGGAGTGCAAGTAAGTCAGCAAAAGTTGTCATTGTTGTTGTTGGTTCGTTTCTTGCTTTTTCCCGTTATCTGTTTATGCTGGCATATTTGTAAAGCATCCCTAGGTGATCATTTGAAAACTCTGTGAAGGTTAGTTGAGTGGTGGGCTGTTATCCTGCTGTTTCTACTTAATAAATATTAGGAAATGTGTAAGGTCATGGGTTTGTCTAAGCTCCTTAATGGTTGGGAGAATTTACAGATAGCAGTTAAAAAGACTTGGCACAGAAAATGAGAGTTCATCTCAGTGGTTCTCAAACTTTGCCACATATCAGAGTCACCTAGGGAGCTTTTAGAAACACTGGCACCTGGCTGCCCCTCATGCCCACTAGGTCAGAACTACTGAGACAGGATCCAGGCATCACTGTGTTTCAAAGCTTCCAAGGTGATCTAGTGCCCTGCCTTGTTTGGGAACCAGTGGCTTATTGGCACTGCTGGAAGGTGGTTTCTAGTGTGCAAGAACGTGTCAGTCTGTCTGGTAATGGTCAGCATCCCTCAGTTCTGTTCTGCTTTCCCCAAGGTGTCGAGTGGGCTGGCAGGGTCGGTACTGTGATGAGTGCATCCGATACCCAGGCTGTCTCCATGGCACCTGCCAGCAGCCCTGGCAGTGCAACTGCCAGGAAGGCTGGGGGGGCCTTTTCTGCAACCAGGGTAAGCTTCCTCCCCCCAAGGCGGCTGGTCCCCTTCCAGAGCGGCCCTGGCCTTCCCTGGCTCTTTGGTCAGTGGAAAAATAAAGTCTTCCTGCATTTGACATTGGGCTTCCTGTCTCCTCCTTTTCCTGTCTCTGCCCCTCACAGACCTGAACTACTGCACGCACCATAAGCCCTGCAAGAATGGGGCCACCTGCACTAACACAGGGCAGGGCAGCTACACGTGCTCTTGTCGGCCTGGGTACACGGGCGCCACGTGTGAGCTGGAGGTAGACGAGTGTGAGGGCAGCCCCTGCAGAAATGGGGGCAGCTGTACGGTAAGTGGGCACTCCATGTCTCCTTCTGAAGCTGGCAGCCCTGCTTTGGAACAGAGCGTGTAGGTGTCTTGGAGCAACTTTGGAGAGCTTTTTCTGATCTTCTCCATGACACAGGATCTCGAGAACAGCTATTCCTGTATCTGTCCCCCTGGCTTCTATGGCAAAGTCTGCGAGCTGAGCGCCATGACCTGTGCAGATGGCCCTTGCTTCAACGGGGGACGGTGCTCAGACAACCCCGATGGGGGGTATGCCTGCCGCTGCCCTGCGGGCTACTCTGGCTTCAACTGCGAGAAGAAAATTGATCGCTGCAGCCCTTCACCCTGTTCTAATGGTAAGGGGACACAGCTGCCATGGCTCAGGCTGCATCAAGTGGTCAACACTAAGAAGGCTTTGGAAAGCTTGTGCATTTAATTTCAAACCAAGTACATTGCATTGTGAGCTGCTTTGAGTTCACGGAGCCCTTTGGTCTGGACAGTCAGGAATTTTCCATAAAAACTTTATCCTTGAGTCTGGAAATGCCCAGGGAACGAGAAAGGCAGGCAGGAGTGTTTGTTCTCGTGTTCCGTAGGGAAAGCCTCGGCCAAGAGGTGAAACCGCTTGCTCAGGGCCACACGCTCCTCGGTCTGGGACTGTCCGTATTGCAGGGGCCATGCTGAAATGGCAACACGGCTGCTTTGCTTTTGGAGGGAAGCCCATCTCTGCGTTGTCACCCAGCACAGTGTCTGGTGTGTCGCTTGTGAGGGGTGTGGTCTGTGCTAGTGTGTGAGGGGCAGGGTGCCCAAAGCAAACTCACAGAGGAGAGGCTGGGCTTGAGGTGGGCCAGAACATTCTGGAACAATTGTTCTTCCTCCATCCCTTCCTTCCTTCCTTCTTTCCTCCCTTCTTAGTCCCTGCTGTTGTCATTGCTGTGCAACTGTGGGCCCGTGTGTTACTCTCTCTCAGCCTTAGTTTCCCCATGGGTAGCCTGAGTCTGTGGGCAGGTCCCTCATCAGGTTGTCTTGAAGATCAGTGCAGCGTCAGCAGAGCATTTGCACAGTGCCTGTTGAAACAACTATGCAAGAGACGAGAGCCCTTATTACGGTTTCTAAGTGGCAGAGCTAGATTGGACTCCTCCCAACGGCTCGTATTTGAGCTCATGTGATATGTTGCATTCAGCTGTGGCTCAGCTTGGTCGTGGCTGTCTTCGGTCTGTCTTTGTTCCTCTGGTGTCTAACAGTGGCAGACATGCAGGGGATGCTTCAGGATGTTTGTTTGGTGAATATGCTTGCAAGGAGATGTGACTGCTCCTGTCGCTGTGTTACAGGTGCCAAATGTGTTGACCTCGGCGATGCCTACCTGTGCCGCTGCCAGGCCGGCTTCTCTGGGCGGCACTGCGATGACAACGTGGATGACTGTGCCTCCTCCCCATGTACCCATGGGGGCACCTGTCGGGACGGCGTGAATGACTACTCCTGCACCTGCCCCCCTGGCTATGCGGGCAAAAACTGCAGCGCCCCCGTCCGCAGGTGCGAGCAGGCGCCCTGCCACAATGGGGCCACCTGCCACGAGAGGGGCCACCGCTACGTGTGCGAGTGCGCCCGGGGCTACGGGGGCCCCAATTGTCAGTTCCTGCTCCCCGATCCGGCCCCCGGCCCCATGGTGGTGGATCTCACCGAGAAGCTGGAGGGGCAGGGCGGGCCGCTCCCCTGGGTGGCAGTGTGCGCCGGCGTCGTCCTGGTCCTCATGCTGCTGCTGGGCTGCGCTGCTGTGGTGGTCTGCATCCGGCTGAGGCTGCAGAAGCGCCGACCCCCTGCTGACCCCTCCCATGGGGAGACGGAGACCATGAACAACCTGGCCAACTGCCAGCGGGAGAAAGACATCTCGGTCAGCGTCATCGGGGCCACGCAGATCAAGAACACCAATAAGAAGGCAGACTTCCATGGGGACCACAGCGCCGACAAGAACGGCTTCAAGGCCCGCTACCCGGCAGTGGACTATAATCTCGTACAGGACCTCAAGGGCGACGAAACCACTGTCAGGGATGTACACAGCAAGCATGATGCCAAGTGCCAGCCCCAGGGCTCCGCAGGGGAGGAGAAGGTTACCCCGACCACACTCAGGGGGTGCGTGCTGTGGGCTGGGCGGGAGGGCTCAGGTGGGGAGGCCACCTGGGGAGCAGTCTGACATTTGGGAAGGCTGCGGGGTCAGGAGGGGCCAGGCGGGAAGGCCACCTGGTGGAGGGCCTGACGTCCTGGGGGGCCATGTGATCAGGAGGAGCCAGGCAGGGAGGTCACCTGGGGAAGGGCCTGTCGTCCTGGGGGGCCATGTGATCAGGAGGAGCCAGGCGGGAAGGCCACCTGGTGGAGGGCCTGACATCCTAGGGGGCCATGTGATCAGGAGGAGCCAGGTGGGAAGGCCACCTGGGGAAGGACCTAACATTTGGGAAGGCCATGGGGTCAGCAGGGGCCAGGCGGGAAGGTCACCTGGGGAAGGGCCTGACATTTGGGAAGGCCATGGGGTCAGCAGGGGCCAGGCGGGAAGGTCACCTGGGGAAGGGCCTGACATTTGGGAAGGCCATGGGGTCAGCAGGGGCCAGGCGGGAAGGCCACCTGGGGAAGGGCCTGACATTTGGGAAGGCCGTGGGGTCAGCAGGGGCCAGGCGGGAAGGTCACCTGGGGAAGGGCCTGACATTTGGGAAGGCCGTGGGGTCAGCAGGGGCCAGGCGGGAAGGTCACCTGGGGAAGGGCCTGACATTTGGGAAGGCCGTGGGGTCAGCAGGGGCCAGGCGGGAAGGTCACCTGGGGAAGGGCCTGACATTTGGGAAGGCCGTGGGGTCAGCAGGGGCCAGGCGGGAAGGTCACCTGGGGAAGGGCCTGACATTTGGGAAGGCCGTGGGGTCAGCAGGGGCCAGGCGGGAAGGTCACCTGGGGAAGGGCCTGACATTTGGGAAGGCCGTGGGGTCAGCAGGGGCCAGGCAGGAAGGCCACCTGGGGAAGGGCCTGACATCCTGGGGGACCATGTGATCAGGAGGAGCCAGGCGGGAAGGCCACCTGGTGAAGGGACTGACATTGGGGAAGGCTGTGGGGTCAAGAGGGGTCAGGCGGGAAGGCCACCTGGTGAAGGGCCTGACATTTGGGAAGGCCGTGGGGTCAGCAAGGGCCAGGCGGAAAGGCCACCTGGTGATGGGCTTGACAACCTGGGGGGCCATGTGATCAGGAGGAGCCAGGCGGAAAGGCCATCTGGGGATGTCTTCCTCCAAGCTCTGGTCATTCAGAAGTGTTTCCGTGTGTTTATTGTGGTTCTTTTTGATTTTCCTGGCAGTGGAGAATCATCTGATAGAAAAAGGCCAGACTCTGTCTATTCTACTTCAAAAGACACCAAGTACCAGTCGGTGTACGTCATATCGGAAAAGGACGAGTGTGTCATAGCAACTGAGGTCAGTGTGCATCACGGCCCTGCCTGTCCTGGCCGGACGCGGCTGAGGCTGGGACTTTCTTCTGTCTTGAACTAACTTCCCATCTGTCTTGTGGGCCCCTCTAGGTGTAAAGTGGAAGTGATATGGCAAAGTTCCCGTTTCTCTTAAGATAAATAAAATTCCAAGGATATATGCCCCCGTGAATGCTGCTGAGAGAGGAAAGGGAGACCTCCGTGGACTGCTGCTGAGAAACTAACTCGGACCGAGCTGGTTCTCTTCCTGAAGTTAGCCAAGCGACTGCGCCGGCCCGGCCCGTGGGCTCTCGCCCAGCTGCGCCACCGACGCCGCTCCCTTGCACTACGGACAGTTGCTTTTACAGAGAATATATTTAAGTGGACGGACTGAACTGCTACGTGCGGAGCAGGCACTGCCTGGAGTGTATATTTCAGATTCTGATGAGCCAGTCTTTTCTCGAATTAGAAACACAAACACTGCCTTTATTGTCCCTTTTGATACTAAAATGTGTTTTTTCTAGACAGAAAAAAAAAGTGTGTTATTTTTTGGATTTGTAAAAATATTTTTCATGATATCTGTAAAGCTTGAGTATTTTGTGATGTTCATTTTTTTATAATTTAAATTTCGGTAAATATGTACAAAGGCACTTCGGGTCTATGTGACTATATTTTTTTGTACATAAATGTATTTATGGAATATTGTGCAAATGTTATTTGAGTTTTTTACTGTTTTGTTAATGAAGAAATTTCTTTTTAAAATATTTTTCCAAAATAAATATCATGAATGACAACCAGGAGGCACAGTGGCTTGCGCTTTCTGGGCACGGGCAGGCGCTGGCTTGGGTCGCGCCAGCTTCTCTCTGCTGAAGTCCTGGCGCTCACGGCTCTGCTCCTGGCCGTGCTGAGGGGAGGCTGACGGGTGGGCTGCGCAACGCCAGGCCCGATGGTGCCGACGACGTTCCGAGAGCCGGCCACGTCCTTCTCTCATTCTGGGCCCTGTTTTTTTAAGGACTGGAACCAAGTCTAATTTGGGATCAAATACCGATGAGGCACTTTTTTATTGCCACAGCAAAGGCTTTTTGTCTTGGAATAATACTTATTTGTTCATTTGTGAGTTTATTTCCAGTTAATTCAAAAAAGTTAGTTGCTTTCTAACTCTGCCGCAGGTGTGGGGGGACAGGTGACAGTAATAACGAAAGCAATCTCTGTTGGGTGCTGCTTCCGTGCCAGGCCCAGGCCAGACACATGATGTGAATCATTAATCCCGAGGGTGCGCCCTTGAGGCAGGTATTATCTTTATTCCCATTTTACAGGCAAGGAAACAGTCTTGGAGAGGCGAAGTTACTTTCTTAGTGGTCTTGAGTGGCAGCGTCAACGTTCAAATCCTGGCAGTCTGGCTCCAGACTCTGGTTTAATCATTACTCATTATTCGTCAGAGACTCAACTTCCTGCCAACAAGATTTGGAGGATTTAACAGGCCCTGCGACTTGGTTGCATGGGACAGTCGGCTAAGAGACGGGTCCACGCTAGGGGACGGTGGCTCACCTCTGGTCAGCAGGGACAGGCGGTGGGCTGAGCTCCTGGGCCCGATTAACTGACGGGAAGAGGTAACTGCCCCGCCTTCGCTTCCACCCCAGCTCACGCCCGTCTTCACATGGCAAGTCAGCGTGTCAGGGTGTGCAGAGGGGTTGCTGATAGAATCCCGTGTCAGAGAGGACTGAACACCCCATGAGGAACCCCCCACCCTGATCCTGCCACGATGACCAATGCTGGCTGTTGGTTTGGGATAATGCTTCAAAGTGAGGACCTCCAGTGAAGTTAACTTTGTCCCTACATAGAAGTCAGGGGCAGGCCAAAGTGTGGCTGGGGTTCAGGCCTCTGGGCAGCCTCCACCTCTGCCTTCTCCCTGGTCTGCTCACAGAGTGCTGCAGCAAGTTCTAGAATAACCGAGGAAGATGTCAACGCTCTGTCAATAGTGCATAGGATCTGCTGAAAGAGCATGGTGGCCTTGTGTCTCGGTTTGCCCAGGAAAGTTGTGCACTTAGCTTGAGGGAAGGGTTGATAGCTGTGCGTTCCACTTTCAGAAGTGGTCTGACTCGGAAAGTAGTCAAGTGGCTCATGCATTTCAAGAATATGTAACACACTACGAAAGAGACTTAAAGCACTCAAAGGTAGCCTGAGTTTCACCTTCCCGGATCTTCCTGTAAAGTCAGGGAAGAAATTCACCCTTCATCTGGGCCAGGCAAGTAACCTGCTTTGGAATGCCAGCACTCTGTGGACTAGGTGCCCTTAGTCCCCTCCAAAACTGACATTTTTTTTTTTTTTTGTCTTTTGTCTTTTTCCGTGTCCGGCAACGGATCGCAACCCTCAGTGTCGCCCCCGCACCGGACCGGGGACCGGCAACGGGACCGCAACCCTCGGTGCCGCTCCCGCGCCTCGCTCAGCCAGTGAGCGGGAACCGGTCTGTATGTGGGATCCGAACCCTCGGGCGGGAGCGCCGCCGCGCTTCTCAAGCGGCGCACTTATCCAGTGCGCCACCGGGCCAGCCCCAAAACTGACATTTTCATGTGAGCTCAGCTGGTCCCTTGGCTTTCAGAGTTTATGCCATCTGCAGGTACACTGAAGTTTAAAACAGCCAAAGAAAAACCTGGAGATTTATAGGTTAGCTGTGACTCACCACACCAAACGATGCCAGCCGCACCAGCCTCCAAGACCGTACTGCTTTTCTCTCCAAGTGTGCTGCAAGGAATAGGGAAGGAGGGAACCATAAATGCACTTACGATGATGACGTAGCAATACCAGACCCTTCAGCAGGAGTGAAGCTTGGGGTTGTGCTTCAGGATTCCCAAGTCCTGAGACGTGCCTGCAGCGTGGCTGCCGGCGGAACAGGAGGCTGCAAACCCCACCTCCCACCAGTCCACTTTCCATGCACCAGCGTCCCTAAGACGTCGGCGATGCCACACACCAGGGTGGAAGATGGGGCACATGTACCTTTCCTTAGATTATTTTCTTTCATTTTTATTTGGACAAAATAATTTTGGACTTCCAGAAATGTTGCAGCAATAGTACAAAGAATCTCGTTATTAAAGTAGTTAAGTGGGAGCTTCTGACTTTGTCACGCTTCTATATTTGTGAGTTGGCTTTCTGCAGTTAGGGTGGGCATCCCCTTCCCATCTACTCATTCATTCACTCACTCATTCATGTCACTGTAGTCTGAATTATTTTAATTCAGTGGGTAACAGTGTCACCGTCGTTTTTCTGATGCTTGGGGGCCCTGGACGAGCGGTGGGGGCTGTGAGAAGTGGTTTCCCTGTGGATGCTGGATTTGGCAGGTCCCATGTTCTCTGAGCACTGTCTTACTTTCAGGCTCCACAGGACATTCCAGGCTCACTGTGTGCTTGCTCCACCCCAGCCCCGGAATTTGCCCTTGTCCTCAGTAAGCCCTGGTCCTTCTCAGTGGAGAATGGCACAACTGCATCTTTAATTTTGTGTGTTTGTGAACCTCAAAGCAATGAGCAATCACCAAGGTGTGAACAGGGCAGCCTGTGTGAACGCTCCTTGAGGAGCTTGTGTTTACTCATCTGTGCAGACCTGTCTCCACATGTACGCTTTATGTCGTTGAGTAAAGGAGACATTAAATGCACAGGCCAACACCAGCCAGCGTGGAAGTATTTTTGCCAAGAAGATTGAACTTGAATCTGATTACAGCCCTCGATCTAGTTGCCAGTTACAGGAACACAGGGGACTGAGAACTTCTTCAAGGACACCATGAGGGTCCACTCAGCCGAATCCAGGGAGCTCTGTAGGTCAAATAAATCGTAACGAAGAGAGAGGAGACGGAGGGGAACTACAAACTGGAAGAGACAGACGTATCAGTTGATTACAGTGCTCCAGAGCGTTAAAAAGTTTATGTGCCAACTGAAGGAATTTAAACACCGACTGGATATTTAAATGATTTTAAAGTATACCTGTTAATTTTTTAGATGTGATATGTTATCACTGCTAAGTTAAACAACAGAGTTTGTATCTTTTAGAGAGAAATTCTGAAATATTTATGGATGAAACAATGTGAGGACTGGCATTTGCTTCAAAACATCCTCATGTGCAGTGTGGTGGCAAGTGGGGGGGTACAGAGGGCCACCAGCAGCAGTGCTTGGAGCTGGATTATAGGCACACGGGGGAGTTAATTTTACCATTTTCTCCTCCTTTGCATTTGTTTGAAACATTCCATAAGTAAAAGCATTTAGATGAATTATACAGGGAAGACCCACGTGACATAATGCACCAGGGTGTATTACATGGCATAGAGCCTAGTGGGTTTCAGGGAGGTTTTCTACCTTTGCATATGCACAGCTTGGATGAGAAATCTTGTAAGACCAAAGCTAAGCAAGTTAAATTGGGAAGAGATTTGGAGGGTTTGGTCAAGAACTTCAGTAGCAGAATCTTGCTGGCTGTGCACCTGGGCAGTCATCTGCTCTGCTCGGCCCAGAAAAGGTCAGTAACAATACTGTCTGTGCACAGGTTGGGAGTGTCCTATTCTCTCTTGCTTCCAGAGGGTGCTTTCAACTAACACGAGCTAATGGCTGCTGACTGCGTAAGCACAGAGTTCAAAACCTTTCCCTGGTCTTGCAGGCCCTTGTACAGCCTGGTTCCTGACCTTCTCTGCAGCCTTGTTTCACGATATTCTCCCCTCTGGACCCTTCGGCTCTCCGCTGCCTGGATCTCTGACTCCACCTTCCACCTGCCTGGAACGTCGCTCTCTGCTGCCACTCTGGCCAACACCTACGTGAAAATGTCCCACCCTCAGGAAGCCTCCTGCCCTACATCACAGTGCCCTCGCAGCTTGTCCATGGCATGGTTACTCTGTGTTGTTATATGCTTAATGTGTGTGTCCCAGTGGAGTGTGACCTGGAAGGGGCAGGGCCGTGTTGACCTTGGTCACTTCTGTGTCGCCATCCCAGCTGAATGCTTAAGCCAGAAAGAGTCCTCAGTCCGTGTGAGCTATATAACTTGAGAACACACACAGACACACACACGGGACCTCTGGTCACGAAAGAGGTTTTATTCTGGTGTTCACTCTTATCTTATCTTACGTCGCTACTAGTTCTGCACCATAACGTGAAGCCAAGCAGAGATCATCTGAGCGGATGACCATGTTGTCTTGCTTTTATTCTGGCAACTCGTCTCTTAGACACAGCTCAAGCACACCGGTTTCTAGCAAACAAAGCATTATGCACTCAGTAATCGCTCAGTCTGTGGATTTTATAGGGAAGGTTAATAGTTTTCCTAAGAACAGATGACTTTCTGGATGAAGAGAGTGCTCTGCCAACAAGGCCAAGGGCACCAGCCCCGGGGCCTCGCCCAGGAGGTACACGTGTGCCTGTGTTGAACGTAGTGTCTCCCATTATAGCTATAAGACACCAGAAAATACTTTGAAATGTCAGGCAAGCTTTTGTCATTTGGAAGCAATTAAGAGATAGTTTTTTAAGATATATTTCAGTGCAGAGTATCCACATTTTTTTCCCCAGAACAATGTCAATTTACACTCATTTGCTCAAATAAGTGGATATTTCCATTTTAGAGAAACCCATCTGATCAAAGTCACTTTGCTGCTGGTGGGGAGGGTGGGGGCGGATGCCACGCCATTGCTGAGTCTTCTTGCTAACGAGCCTTGAAAAGCAGTACACTGTTCTTCATCTCTCCTGTTGCTTAGGGACATCCACTGCTCCATACCTGGCATTTGGTCTAGAGGTCACAGTTTTAACAGGAATGGGAGTGGGTGCCCAGGAAGCCACCA